AAAAAAAAAAAAAAAAAAAAAAAAAAAAAAAAAAAAAAAAAAGACCTCTATTTGTCTGAGTGCCTCTTATTAAGTGTTAAGAATTGTTATGTTAAGAATTGTTAGTTTCCTGTTATAAATTTGATAACTTAGGTTCAAAGAAGCTAAAAAATTTGTGTAAGAAACAGAATCAGAATATTTCATCGGTATGTAAGTAAGTGATAAGTTTAATAAACTAAGCTCTTGGTTACATTCTTACCAGATTTGCACAGGTTCAGTTTTCCCATATTGAAAACAGTGGATGCTCAGATTCTCACCATTCCCCCAGTAGCATTGGTCACTGTTGAGCACTTTCTTCTTGCTTTTCATGATACTACTCTCTTCTGATTCTCTTCCTACTTCTTATATTATCAACTCCTCATCTTCTACGTAGTCCTTAAATATGGATATTCCTTAGGGCTCAGTCCTGGGGCTTTGCTTTCTGCCACTATGCTCCCTTTGGGCAATTCATCTCATCTATCTCTGGGTTTCAGTTACTGTCTGTGTGCCAATAACTGAAATCTCTACTTCCAACTAGTCTTCTTGAGTGTGGGTCCTATTTATATCAAAGACTTTCATGTTACCATCTCTGCTGGGATGTCTCCAAAGCACTCAAATCTCAACAGCTTATTCAGGGCTCAATGAAACATCCTACTCTTAAAAACATTCTCCTCAGTGAGAATCAGGGGTTAGGAGCCTGAGCTCTAAAGCCATGTGGCTGGATCAAGATCCTGGCTCCAATGCTTGGTTACTTCCTGTGTGATTTGGAGCAAATCATTATTTATCTTTCTGTTTCTGAACTTAGTTAATGTGAATAATAGCAGTTTTACTTACCTCAAAATTTTGTTGTATTACTGAGACTGTATGTAGAAGGCTGAGACCTGAGCTAGACAAATAGAAAGGATCAATGAATGTCAGCTATTATTTTCTACCTTGTTGCTCCAATAAGAAAGCTGGGTATCATTCTTGAGATCTCCAACTCCCTGACCTTCTCCCATTTTACATCCAATCACCAATTATATCTAGTGATTTTTCTGACTAAAATTTTCTCAAATCTACTTGTGGTGCTTGCTTCAGCAGCACATATACTAAAATTGGAATGATACAGAGAAGATTAGCATGGCCCCTGCACAAAATTGACACGCAAATTTGGAAAGCGTTTCATATTTTTTGGCGTTGGAGAAGATAATGCTAAGTGAAGTTAGCGAACCCCACCCCCAAAAGAAACAAATGCCAAATGTTTTCTCTCATATAAGGAGGCTGATTCATAGTGGGGTAAGGAGGGGGTGCATGGGAGGAATAGATGAAATCTAGATAGCACAGAGGGGTGGGAGGTAAAAGGAGGGGGTAGGGGACTAGCAAGGATGGTGGAATGTGATAGACATCATTATCCAAAGTACATGTATGAAGACACGAATTGGGGTCAACATACTTTATATACAACTAGAGATATGAAAAATTGTGCTGATATGTGTAATAAGAATTATAATACATTCTGCTTTAATTTATTTAAAAAAATTTTTAAAAAATCTACTTGTGTACCACGATGGCCATATCTGAACTGAGAATCACCCCAGGAACTGATTTTCTTCTTTCTGTCTCCTTCTGGCCCAATCTCTACAATATGGCCAATGCTATTTATTAGCAACAATCCTTTCACAATGCTATTATTCATAAAACTTGTGAGTGGTTCCCCAGTTAGTGCCAGTAGTGGGGCTATTCTCTCCCTTATTGGGACAATGAGACCAGAGACACTAGAAGTTGCTGTGGCTGATCTGCTGCAGGATTCCCCCAAGGAGAGAAGAAAAGCATCTGATTCTATCCACAATCCCAGCACGAGACTTCTTGAATCTGAGGAGGAGGATCTGACTCATATTATGTTTTCTGATGATTTGTTCAAGGAAGTTCAGAAATTCTGGATGGGAGCGTGGAATAATTTCAGGCAGCCTAAATAGAAACAGAACCTCAGGTAACTGTGGAGGATGTGGCCTGGGGAAAACAAGAAAGTTAGAGGTTAATTTTATTATCTTGGCTCAAGATTCCTGCTCAGTACTAGAGCTTGCCAGAGTCACACTAACAAATCTTAAATTGAAAGAATGATTTCTAATTTTTACTTGGTTTACACATTGGTATTGTAAATCAAAAAACAAAGCGAAAATCAAACAAAACAAACAAAAAAGGGAATTATCAGCTAGGATTTTCACCTCGAGCTTGTGCTTACTCAAGAGAAATACTTCAGATTTGGAATAGACCAAAGTGTTTGGCCTCTGGGCAAGCTTTTCTAACAATTAAATTGGACTGCCTTGTAAGCCATTTCAAAGCCCTTTCCTGTTTGAAGCAGTCCACCCACTGATGTGAGAGGATGTAGCTGATTATCCTCCTCTAAACAAGGGAAAGACCTTCAGGTGGTCTGACTTGGAAGGAAAGTCTGGCTCTGGGAGAGAGAAAGCTTGGAGGCTAAGGGAAAAAAGCACGAGACAAAGCCCAAAGAAGGAAATTTAGAGCATAAAATGAACTGGGGGAAAAAAAAAAACAAATCAAAATCCAAACAAAGTACAGTGGGAAAATTCTGCTGGCTTTACATGTTCTGGGAATGCTGGCCCTTCTCGGAGAGGACTGAAGCTACTTACTTCATGGAAGGAAGCCGGATTCCTTTCTCCATCAGAACCTTCTCAGTACTTCTGAAGAAAATGTCAGAATAAGGGTAGACCAAGAAAACAATTTGTATCACAAAAGCTTTGGATATTTTTGTGTGGTGCTTGGTATTCTAAGTGGAACATAGAGAAGAGATGATTCTGAGAAAAATTACATCAGACAAGTTTCAGGAAACTTTCTTCAAAACTTTTGCAATGGGGCAGAGATTGAACTCAATCCTACTGGAACAAAAGGCAGGGGGGGTTTTAAAGCCCTGGGTGAGCTAGGGGAAAAAATACTGGAGAACATTAGGGGGAAGGTTGGCAAATGTGATTAGGCCATCTGTATTTGCTGGTTGTGCCCTTTGCTTCTGAAATTGTCCTCTCCTCAGCACCATTAACCCTCATCTAGGGGGATCATTTTTGTGAACAATTTGCTATAATATCTCTAATATCTGAAAAGGCCTCACTTGAAGTCACATCCCTTTAAAGCTATTTGCTCATTTTTCTGCCTCCCTTTATAAAGCAGAACTCTGCCAAAGAGTTGTCTTTATTCACTGGCCTTCGCTCCTCACTCTAGTTGGGCTTTTACCTCCAAGACTCCACTTAAACAGCTCTTGTTAGGTTCTCAACAACCTCTTCTTTGCCAAATTCACTGTCTGTTCTCAGTTCTTATCTTACTACGCTCTTAGCAGCAATTTGACACATTTGTTCACTTTCTTCTTTGGAAAGTGTTCCCTGGCTTGTGGCATCCACACATTCAGAGTTAAACCATGAGCATGGAAAGCACACCACCTCACTGGCCACTCCTCTCACGGCCAACATCTAACTGTTGAAGTGTCCCAGGGAGTGATCCTCATCCCTGCTTTCTCTTTAGCTATACTCATTCCTTGGGGGTGGGGGTGGGGGCAGAAATCATGACTTTCTATGTCATCCAAGGATTCATGACTACCAAGTTTATGTCTCTGGCCCTTAGCTCTACACTGAACTCTAAACTCAGATATCTGATGTAACCCTCACCTAGGGGGATCATTTTTGGTACCACTTACACTGCCACCTAGGTATGTACTCAGCATCACAAAATCAATATGCCCCAAACAAAATTCTTGATTTCTATTCACAACGCCCTTCCTTTCTCCCTCAGTTTTATCTCATCCTATGAAAGCAGCACTTGTTTATTTATAATCATCCTTGATTCTTCTTATTCTATTATACTTCACATTTGGTCTACCAACAAAACTTGCCAGGTCCACCTCCAAAATATATTCCGAACTCAGTCACTCTAAACATGTCCACTATTAGTCTACCTGCTGCTCCCTCTTTTCTTAGTAATTCAATCCAAACAAACAAATCTTGTTTTCCTGCTTTGTTTCTCTCCCCCTTACAATATATTTCTTACATAGAATGACATCTTAAGTCACTGATTGATCATATTCTTTCCTGACTCTCAATCTACCATTGAATAGAGTAATATCCAAAATCCTTATCATGGTCCATGAGATGTAACATCATTTGGCATTTGTTCATCTTTCTGGTCTCATCTACCATTTCTCCTACCATTATGTTCTCTCCTTTATTACCCTAACTACTTTTTCTATCACAGCATATAACATTTCCTGAACATTATATTATGTGTTTACATTTGTGCTACTATATCCTCACCACTGAGAAAAAGTGGGTGACAGGTAGAGGGTGCTCAATGCACATGGGTTGAATAATAAAATTAACAATAGCTCATATTTAAGTTGCATATGCCAGGTACTATCCTTAGTGTCCCCCATGGATTATTTTATTTTTTAATAGTAATGGCTCTGCATGTTTTATGTTAGATGCTATCATTACTCCCAAAGGTCAGAAGACATTCCTCCTTTGCCTTTCACATTTGTTCCCAGCTGTTCCTGACATGACCTATTAACTTTTAGGGGGAGCTTTTGTGCCTTTTATCTTCTCAGAATTGTCAGATCAAAGGCTGGTTCTCTTTTTACCCTCTTTAAAAATATTTATATTGCTGAAAAAATGCAGATACATATTTTTTGGTATATGTGAGTAGATTTAGCTTCAAGAAACTGAGTTGCCATAAATAATAAGACACTGGCTATAACTAATAGGACATGAAGGCTGTATTGCTATATTGTAAATATTTAGATTTTTTTCTGAATATTGTGATGTTTTGACATCTTAAACAAACTTGTCTGTCTAGGGAAACACTGCCTCTCCTGGGGCTAGCCAATTCTTTAAGACAAAAACAAAGGGTCCAGCCAGGAGCATGTCTTTGATGTAGGAACTTGATTCAAAGCCATACTTCTTCTATTTGGTTCAGGAAGCACTATTTCTGTGTTTTAGTCATCCTAAAGGGACAGGTGTCAGGCAACTAGGAAGCCCCACAGTAATCCAAAGCCTGCAGAAATGGTTCAGACTGGCAGTCCTAAACTGTTTGTCTGCCCTGCTTTCCCTCTCTCATGGAAACCTCAGTGAAGACAGTGGCCTGAACCTACCCTTGTTGGCATTTTCAGCTACTGACCACCTTGGCATCTTTCCCATGTGACCCTGTTGTACATGTTATGTCCTATGCAACTGTATTACAAAACAAAACAAAACAAAACAAGATAAAAACCATAAGTGGCATTAGCTTCTCTGTTTCATCACCCTATCACCTTTATAAATTAAGTCCCGGGTACAACACAACCGAAGAGTCAACCAGTATTTAATTAATGAGTAAAGGATTACCAAAAACATGAATATCCCTATATTTCAGTGAATTTAATATAGTTATTGCTTTGAGAATAACTATCTCTACTTGCTGGAATATACTTATCTGCTTTAAATGCCCCAAATGCTCCTTATTTGTGAATGTCATCCTGAATTAGACACAGAAGTGATTTGGAGGATATTTACTTTCCTTTGCATGTCTGAAATTTTATTTTATTTTTTTAGGAAGGCTAGAAGGGAAGAATCAGACAGTTTATTATTAGAGCTAGTTAGCATTACTTCCTACCCTGTTTTGTCTTCTCACAGTGTAAGTTGTGTATTTTGCTTTATGCTGATCTTGAGCATTCAACTTTATTTCACTTAACATCTTTGGAACACTTAGTAGATGTGTTTTATTGCATAAATGGAAAATAATCCTTTAGGCTATTTTAAAAAATAGCGCATCCTTTCTTAACTTGAAGATGGCTCACTTACCGTTGTTTATGTTGAAAACAGCTTCTTTTATTATACTGTCTCCTGATTTCTCTTGGATAATTAAATAACTGCTGTCACTCCCCACATTTGAATCTGGAGGCTAACCCTGATTCTGCATCTGATTTCGATGCAGATCATGAGATAAAACTGCTTTTTCACTCTTAATGTCTAATGTCTTTAGATAATACATGCAAGGAACCAGTGGACCCCAGTGGATGAATCAATTGAGAAATCAGTTGCAGTGCTAAATGAGAGTTACTTCTTATTTGTCTTTGAAGATGAAGCATATACAATATTACTAATAAATGCAAACCAGTAACTCTCTCCTCTAAATAAATGATTCTATTGATTTATT